TGCCGGTCGGGTAATGGGACTTGGCACGGGGGTGGCGGCTGAGGACACGGCGGAAGAAGAGGTGGTAGAGGCGGACATCTTTGCTGGACCAAGGACGTGCAAACGTGGAGGCAAAAGCGGCGTGACCTGTCCAAGTTGCTGGTGCGGCTGTGCCGGCACCACGTTCACCCAGTGGGCCGTAAATGACATGTACTGTCCCTGACCGTAGTTACAGCTCCACACGTCGGCGCTGCCGTGCACTTTGGCAGAGACCGACATGCTCAAAGACTGGCCCACCATCTCTTCTACATGTGAATGCAGGGCTGGCACTGCCTTTTTGGCGAAGAAATGCCGGCTTGGCACTCTCCACCGCGGCTCGGCACAAGCCATCATTTCTCGGAAAGGTGCTGAGTCCACCACTTGGAAAGGGAGGGACTGCAGCACCAGCAACTTGGACAGGAGGACGTTCAGCTTTTGCACCATCGGGTGCGTGCTCGCAAACTGTTGTCTCTTGGAAACGGATTCCAAGAAAGACTGCTGACGGAATCCGTGAAGAGGAGTAGCAGGAGAAGGAGCATCTGAACGAGCGGAAGATGCCAACGAGCGACAACTCCCCTCAGCAGAGGTGTTGGAGCCTTGACTGGCTGATAGAGGGCGATTGACGTCGGGTGACGGAGCAAGTAACGGAGCGGGTGATGGAGCGGGGGCTGGGGCAGGCAGAACCGCCGTATCTTTATCACGGTTTTCCCAGGCCACCGAATGGAGACGCTGCATATGCTGACACAACGCTGTAGTCCCAACATGGGCCCCCTGGCACGCTTGACTTTCTGGCCACATAGTCGACATACGGCTACGTTTACTTCCTCGGGCGGCTTGACGAAAAATTGCCACACCGCCGATTAGGAAACTTTGCCCCCGCTACTCCTCACTGGCTGACTGCTACTTCCTCCGTGCACACCGGCACCACTACTGGCCGTGGTGGTAGGCTGCAGTGGAGCTGGTGCTCTACTCCGTGGCCGTTTTGCCTCCACTGACACTGCTGCGACCCTGCTGCCTCCTGGGCAACCCACCGACTGTTTTGCTCGCTGGCAAGCTGGCACCCTCTTCTCCTGATGATGCGGAAGCAATAGCCTGATGACGACGAGGCTGCCAAGTGCGATCAGCCTCATCATCATCAATTAGGGTCTCCGCGTCACTACTAGCCCCCTCGGCTGCTTGTGGGTCAGGAGACAGACCTGTCTCTAGACCGGCTACCGAGCCACTCTCCTCGCCAGTACTTCTTCGCCTGGCTGCTGAAGAGGCGGATGTCTCCCCCCGTTCCTGACCGCCCTCTGTTAGCTCTTCCTCACTGTACAGTGGGGCTGAGCCCACAGCATGCGATATTTCGCTTGGTGAGGGAACACCAAAGGACAGGGGCAGGTAGAGGACACGTGATTTCAGTGGGCTTGCTCCCGGGCCATGCCAACTAACGGTTGTGTCTGACGTACCCACCGACCGTTGGCTGTAGGTGTCAGAGGTGACCTGGGAAGAGGAAGACGACCGAGCCAACCAATCGATGACGGCAGGGTTGTCGGTGGAGACACGACCGCTGGATGACACCGGGAGCACTGGCCTCTGGCTGCGACTAGTGCTGCCTCGACCCCTTCCTCTGCTGCCACGTCTGCTCGCTCCTGAAACATTGCCTCCTCTGCCACTCCTCTGCGTGTTGTCTGACATACTCTTTAATTCAATAAGCACCCCAAAAATAAAGCCGGATTTAACTCTTTGAACGTACAATAGTGGTTGTGAAGCAGAAAGTCAGTTTATTTAGCACAATCGGTCAATTGCAGCTTGCCGTTGGCTGGAAACTGTACGTTTATGTCACTGGAATGCACTAATCACCCAAAAAATATTATTACTGCCACCCTGCGTGTATATGGATTTAACTCTTTGAACGTACAATAGTGGTTGTGAAGCAGAAAGTCAGTTTATTGTACACAATCGGTCAATTGCAGCTTGCCGTTGGCTGGAAACTGTACGTTTATGTCACTGGAATGCACTAATCACCCAAAAAATCTTACCGCCAGCCGGCGTGTAAATGGATTTAACTCTTTGAACGTACAATAGTGGTTGTGAAGCAGAAAGTCAGTTTATTTTGCACAATCGGTCAATTGCAGCTTGCCGTTGGCTGGAAACTGTACGTTTGTGTCACTGGAATGCACTAATCACCCAAAAAATATTACCGCCAGCCGGCGTGTAAATGGATTTAACTCTTTGAACGTACAATAAGTAACGATTCTGTGTCCCTGAGTAACGATTTCTGTGTCCCTGAGTAACGATTCTGTGCCCTGAGTAACGATTCTGTGTCCCTGAGTAACAATTCTGTGTCCCTGAGTAACAATTCTGTGTCCCTGAGTAACAATTCTGTGTCCCTGAGTAACGATTCTGTGGCCCTAAAGTCTCTGTGGCCCTAACTCTGTCCCTCAATACACAGAGGTCTGTCTCTCTTGAATGACCGGAGGCTAATTGCCGAATTCTAAGATGGCCGCGATTTATAGCTCCACCATTACACAGTGCTGGCTGGCTGCTGCTGATTGGCTAATGCGATCACATGTCATGATTCATGACTCATGAATGCATTATGGGTCAGCGCGCCTTGTCTGCGCGCCTTCCCAGAGATCCCCGCCCCATCTTCTCTGTCCATTTTCTCTCCTGTCGCCACACATGTCGCCGCCATTTTTGGGAAAATTCGATTCGTGCATCCGAAGTTTGCTAATCTTCCGATTCGTCGCGAATCGAATTTTTCCAAATCTTCGAAACGAATTCCACTTCGTCATGTTCGATTCGCTCATCTCTACTCCAGATGTAAAGAGCGCCCCCTTGTCCTCTGTGATGACCTCAGGGGAATAACTACACCGAGTTCACTATATGAACCCACTGATGTATTATATGTATTATATGTATTATATGTGTTGATCATTTCTTCCTTTAATCTCCTCTTCTCAAGAGAGATCAGCAAATAGGCTAAAGATATGTGTTCTGCCTTGTATCCTGAATCCAGAGTTTTCAGATTGAGAACGTATGTATGTTGCCATTGGTTCCATTAATAGAAATCAATATGAGTGGGGGGAGTGGGGGCATCCTTGGTGTGTCCCATTTGTGATGGGAAAGGGAGTGGAAAGCACGCCAGATGTATACATGTGAGCAGAGGGAATAGTATATAATGGTAGTAAAGAATAATGGAGTATATTTGACCTGTAAATCCAAATGCAAAAAATGTCTGGGCCAAATATTCCTGATGAATTCTGTCAATTGCCTTCTCTGCATCTAAAGCCAAAAGCAGAACAGGCATTTTATGGACATTGGCATGGTGGAAAATGTTTATGAGACAGCGGGTTACGTCTACTGTTTGGCGGCTCTTATCAGATTGGTCTGGATGTATGAGTTGTGGTAAGATATCTATGAGGCGGAATGCAATAAGTTTAGCATACATCTTTACTCCATTGTTTAACAATGAAATGGGCCTAAAGTTCTGGGGTATGTCTGGTTCTTTTCCTGCCTTGGGCAACGTTATGATTACCAGTCTAAGCATTTTAGGGAGGAAAGAGGAAGAGGCAGTCACAGTGTTATATATTCTAACCAAATGGGGAAGAAAAATATATTTTAAAAATATTCTTCCCAAATATATTTTTGGGGCTTCCAATCTTTTCTTTTCCTTGTTATGATGCTGGGGTGTTGTAGAGGCAGATCGCTAGAGTGGTGACGAGAAATCCACTCCTAGAGGGTTGCTGGGAGCCGTTCTATACCCTGTGGTTTTTGAGCTCCGTTCTCATGCACCCATCCAGTCCGCTTCAAGCCATGCCCCATCAATGATCTTTTTTAACCGTAGTGATCAGACAAATAAAAGCAAAGGATACTAATTTTTTTTGTATTTTTTCTCTCCCAACCCTCCCCCAGGCATTTTTCTTTTGCTTTTCCTCCTGCTGCCCAACTGTACTAGGGACACCAAGACGCAGACGCTTACCTCCGCGCTCGTTCTGTTGTACATGACAATATTTTATATTGATCTTCTGCAACCAGCAGGTGGTCCAAGCAAGTGAGTCCTTCAGCAACTTTTCTCACTTTTCAGTGAAGATGAAGTAACTTGACCCGCTGTTTAGAAAAGATGAATGTGATCAGATGGATCTTCCCTCCCTTCCCCACATACATCTCCGCAAGAAGTCTCACTTTAGACAGACACGGTTAGAAAGTGAGTGGTGCAGTTTTCACATTGTTTTTTTAACATTCACAAATTACTTTTCCCTTCAGGCAATGAATGAATAATGTAAATCGTATATTATTCATTCTAACAGAGAATACGATTGCAGAATTTGCTACTTGAGGTTGGAAACAACAAAAAGAAAGTTTAACTCGATATAAAGACCTTGAGAGGGAAGTTGGCACTGCTGCCAGTAATGTGATCACCTGAACTTTGCTTATTGGATGGTAGCCAGTATTTAGCTGGACATTAGGAGGGATAATCACACAATAACTGGTCACAACTGGCCGTGTACATCTCCAGCTAAAGCATGCAAGTTTTAGTCTATTTGTTATTATTCATTTATTTCAGGTACTTATATAGTGCCATCAATTTATGCAGTGCTTTATATATATATTATACATTCACAATCTAAGGTCCCTAACTCACATTCATACACATACGAGGGCCAATTTAGACAGGAGCCAATTAACCTACCAGCATGTCTTTGGAGTGTGGGAGGAAACTGGAGCACCCGGAAGAAATTCACACAGGCACAAGGAGAACATGCAAACTTCAGGCAGGTGGTGAACCAACGACCCTAGCACTGCCAGGCAGAAGTGCTAACCATTTAGCCACTGTGCTGCTCATTTGAGTATATTAATTTTTTTACTCTCATTTGAGTAGAATAAAATGTACTTAAAGCGTTACTAAACTCCAGACCCCACTCACTATATCTGCCCTCCCCGGACCCTGCATTCACTATATCTGCCCTCCCCGGACACTGCATTCACTATATCCGCTCTTCCCGGACCCCGCATTCACTATATCCGCTCTCCCCAGACCCCGCATTCACTATATCCACTCTCCCTGGACCCTGCATTTACTATATTTGCTCTCCACGGACCCTGCATTCACTATATCCGCTCTCCCCGGACCCCGCATTCACTATATCCGCTCTCCCCGGCCCCCTGCATTCACTATATCCGCTCTCCCTGGACCCCGCATTCACTATATCCGCTCTCCCCGGACCCCGCATTCACTATATCTGCTCTCCCAGGACCCCACATTCACTATATCTGGTCTCCCTGGACCCTGCATTCACTATATCCGTTCCCCCCGGACCCCGCATTCACTATATCTGCTCTCCCCGGACCCCGCATTCACTATATCCGCTCTCCCTGGACCCCCGCATTCACTATATCTGCTCTCCCAGGACCCCACATTCACTATATCTGGTCTCCCTGGACCCTGCATTCACTATATCCGTTCCCCCGGACCCCGCATTCACTATATCTGCTCTCCCCGGACCCCGCATTCACTATATCCGCTCTCCCCGGACCCCGCATTCACTATATCCGCTCTCCCCGGACCCCGCATTCAGTAGTATATCCGCTCTCCCAGGACCCCACATTCACTATATCTGGTCTCCCTGGACCCTACATTCAGTATATCCGCTCTCCCCGGACCCCGCATTCACTATATCCTCTCTCCCCGGACCCCGCATTCACTATATCCTCTCTCCCCGAACCCCGCATTCACTATATCTGCTTTCCCCGGACCCTGCATTCACTATATCCGTTCTCCCTGGACCCTGCATTCACTATATCAGGTCTCCCCGGACCCTGCATTCACTATATCCGCTCTCCCCGGACCCAGCATTCACTATATCCGCTCTCCCCGGACCCTGCATTTACTATATCTGCTCTCCCGGACCCTGCATTCACTATATATCCGCTCTCCCCGGACCCTGCATTCACTATATCTGGTCTCCCCGGACCCTGTATTCACTATATCTGCTCTCCCCGGACCCTGCATTCACTATATCTGCTCTCCCCGGACCCCGCATTCACTATATCCGCTCCCCCTGGACCTGCATTCACTATATCCAGTCTCCCCGGACCCCGCATTCACTATATCCAGTCTCCCTGGACCCTGTGTTCACTATATCTGGTCTCTCCCCGGACCCTGCATTCACCATATTCATTCTCCTCGGACCCTGCATTCACTATATCCGCTCTCCCCGGACCCCGCATTCACTATATCCGCTCCCCCCTCTGGACCCTGCATTCACTATATCCAGTCTCCCCGGACCCCGCATTCACTATATCTGCTCTCCCCCGACCCCGCATTCACTATATCCAGTCTCCCTGGACCCTGTGTTCACTATATCTGGTCTCCCCGGACCCTGCATTCACCATATTCATTCTCCTTGGACCCTGCATTCACTATATCCGCTCTCCCCGGACCCCGCATTCACTATATCCGCTCCCCCTGGACCCTGCATTCACTATATCCAGTCTCCCCGGACCCCCGCATTCACTATATCCGCTCTCCCCGGACTCCGCATTCACTATATCCGCTCTCCTCGGACCCCGCATTCACTAGATCTGGTCTCCCCGGACCCTGCATTCACCATATCCATTCTCCTCGGACCCTGCATTCACTATATCCGCTCTCCCCGGACCCCGCATTCACTATATCCGCTCTCCCCGGACCCCGCATTTACTATATCCACTTTCCCTGGTCCCTGCATTCACTATATCCGTTTTCCCCGGATCCTGCATTCACTATATCCGCTCTCCCCGGACCCTGCATTCACTATATCCGCTCTCCCCGTACCCTGCATTCACTATATCCGCTCTCCCCGGACCCCACATCCACTATTTCCTCTCTCCCTGGACCCTGCATTCACTATATTCGCTCTCCCCAGACCCTGCATTCACTATATATCCGCTCTCCCCGGACCCCGCATTCACTATATCTGCTCTCCCAGACCCCGCATTCACTATATCTGGTCTCCCTGGACCCTGCATTCACTATATCCGTTCCCCCCGGACCCCGCATTCACTATATCCGCTCTCTCCCCGGACCCCGCATTCAGTATATCCGCTCTCCCAGGACCCCACATTCACTATATCCTCTCTCCCCGGACCCCGCATTCACTATATCCATTCTCCCCGGACCCTGCATTCACTTTATCTGCTCTCCCCGGACCCCACATTCACTATATCCGCTCTCCCCGGACCCTGCATTCACTATATCAGGTCTCCCCGGACCCTGCATTCACTATATCCGCTCTCCCCGGACCCTGCATTCACTATATCCGCTCTCCCCGGACCCTGCATTCACTATATCTGCTCTCCCCGGACCCACATTCACTATATCCGCTCTCCCCGGACCCCGCATTCACTATATCCGCTCTCCCTGGACCCTGCATTCACTATGTCCGCTCTCCCCGGACTCTGCATTCACTATATCCACTCTCCTCGGACCCCGCATTCACTATATCCGCTCTCCCCGGACCCTGCATTAACTATATTGGCTCTCCCCGGACCCTGCATTCACTATATCTGGTCTCCCCGGACTCTGCATTCACTATATCCACTCTCCCGGACCCTGCATTCACTAAATCCACTCTCCCCAGACCCTGCATTCACTATATCCGCTTTCCCCGGACCCCGCATTCACTATATCCTCTCTCCCCCCGGACCCCGCATTCACTATATCCGCTCTCCCCGGATCCCGCATTCACTATATCCGCTCTCCCCGGACCCCGCATTCACTATTTCTGCTCTCCCTGGACCCCGCATTCACTATATCCGCTCTCCCCGGACCCCGCATTCACTATTTCTGCTCTCCCCGGACCCCGCATTCACTATATCTGGTCCCCCACAGTACACACAACATGGAAATGTAATTATTTTATTAAATATAAACTGCTAAATACCTTTTCTCCTCAGCAGTATTATAGCAGTCTTGTGAGTTGTATCAGTGTCCAGCAGAGCACTGGTTAAAGCTTGTAGGAGGAGTTTTTATTCTGCTCTAGAAGGATGCAGAACCCCTGGACAGTGCTGACCACATGCGCTCTCCCCCAAGAAAAAAAAAGCTCTCTAGCAATACACACTAAACTGAGCATGTACAGAGTGACTCCACACAATATTTTTTATCAGGAGATAAAAGGGGGACACTGAAAGAAGGGGAGGATCAGAGAACACAGGATCATCAGCCTTTTTACACAATGCAGAGGATTAACCCCTTAGGTTCCACAGTGAGTATAACAAGCACGCTTTACTGCATCTACAGACTGATTGTACTGTTGGGGGTTTAGTAACACTTTAAGCATATATTTTTTTATTAATACAATTTGTTTCATAACAGAAAAATTCATTAGCATTTGAATACAATTTTTTTTTTTTTTTTACTAATTATATCCTCTCCAACAACCCATTGAGTTGCCCCCCGGTGACCAAAAAATGAAACGTCCGCCTAAAGCCCAAGTTTAGCCTAAATTACAAGCATCAAAATCAACACAAAAGGCATAACGTCCAGTCAGTGTGATGTGTCCCTTGTGCTGATTCTTCTTCCTTTAGGAGAAATCTTCCTCTCCCCTTGCTGCTGTATCCTTGCTGTACAGAGGAGGTTATGGCTTCATGCACGCTGGGGGGCGTTTTAATACGTTGGTAATGTTAGATGTGTAAAGGCACGTTAACAACGTGAGTTTTTCAGCGTTTAGCGTTTTACTGTGTTTTTTTCGCATTTGCGTTTTTCAGAGTTGTTTTTTACCTAGAAAAAAAAATTTTAAATAAAAAAATCCAAAAATGCTGATTTGCTGCGTTTTACCCCTTTGTGCGTGTTTTCCAGCATTAGAGCATTTTTACAGCTAAAGAACTCCTCTAGAAACCCACTAGCTCTGGGGGGTTTTTTCCAGCCAAAAAACTTTCCTGCCAAAAAAAAAACTGTTGTTTACAGCCTATGTGTGCACGGACACATAGGATAAACATGCTGGGGGGTTTACTGGCTGGAGAAAACTAACGTCAAAAGCCAAAAACAGCCGCTGTAAAAACGTCCCGTGTGCATGAGGACTAATACAACGGAAGCTCTTATCCATAGAATCTGACTATTACTGCTCTTCCGTCAAGCTATGCCATTCACAAAAATCCGTACTAAACTTGCTACCCCTCTGGTGCTTGGAATATTGAAAGAAGGCAACCATTCTGTCCTTGGACTTGTGAGTACTGACTCTAAAAGATCTTGGGGACTCTGTGTGATTGATACCCCTCTGGTGCTTGGAAGAAAGAAAGGAGGTGACCATTCTGTCCTTGGACTTGTGAATACTGACTGTGAGAGATATTGGGGGACTCTGTGTGATTGATACCCCTCTGGTGCTTGGAAGAAAGAAAAGAGGTGACCATTCTGTCCTTGGACTTGTGAGTACTGACTGTGAGAGATATTGGGGACTCTGTGTGATTGATACCCCTCTGGTGCTTCTGGAAGAAAGAAAGGAGGTGACCATTCTGTCCTTGGACTTGTGAATACTGACTGTGAGAGATATTGGGGACTCTGTGTGATTGATACCCCTCTGGTGCTTGGAAGAAAGAAGGGAGGTGACCATTCTGTCCTTGGACTTGTGAGTACTGACTGTGAGAGATATTGGGGACTCCGTGTGCTTGCTACCCCTCTGTTGCCTTCAGTGGTACCTACGGGGCAGGGGCGGACTGACCATTTGGAAACCCGGGGCGCGCTGGCCGAGGGCCCGGGGTCAGTAGGGGGCCCCCGTGAGATGCCCCTGGTACCTTTTTCATAGGCTTTTTTGAGTTTGGGCAAGGACACAGGGGCCCCATGATCCCATGATCCCCTATTGCCCGGGGGCCCCATGAGTTGTCAGTCCGCCCCTGCTATGGGGCATCTGAAAACTGGGAGTAAGGTTATCATTTTTTACATTCTTCTTTTTTAATTGATTTTTATTTAGCTTTTTTCATGGAAGATGGGGGGGGGGGGGGTTTGTAAGATGTGCCTCCCAAGGTCCACTCTAAAATAATATTTTTATTTAGTTCATATTTTGGTTTACCTAAAACTCTATCTAGATTTGTTGCACACAATGGACTGATCTACTATGATCATTGAAGTAAAGGCAGTACATTTTGGTGTGGGTAGATAATATATGTAGGTAATACTTTAGAGGATGAGGAATTAAAGATCGTGAAAATGAATGGATGGAAAGTACGGGGTTGTCACAGATATAAACGGGGGTAAAAGGATACTGTACATTGCACTTGCAAAACTGAATAGTTAATTAGTAAATGGTTAAGTTGGGGGAAAAATGTGGAGAATCTCTCAGTCATTTGGAAAGTCTTATAAAAATGGTGTGCAGTATTTAAATATAATTGAGAAAACACCTAATAATTATTTGTTGTATATAATAACATTTAAGGGATTGGGTTTCAAGACGGCAAATTATCTGTCGATAAATATACACGTGTATACTGTAGGTTGTAAAATATTAAAAATTAAGAAAAACTGGAGCCAAACGTTTTAGTTACTGTGAACTGTGTATGTTTTGTGAAAACTGGAAGAGAAAAAGAAAAACTTAATAAACATGATAAAATAAAAAAAAAGGAAGTCCCCCTGATGTTCTGTTGTGGAATGTGCCAGGACATGTTGCAATTGTTTTCCCCGTTTGTAAAGAAGGTCAGCACAGCTGATTGTATCATCCATGAACAGAGTGTGCTGGGGCGCACCTTGTATTTGTGAAGGATTGATCCAGAAAGTAGAATTCCATGATGAGAGGGCCCGAAACGTCTCTTCCTTTCCTTCTGGTCCTGCTGTGTACTTCAAATGGATGGGCATGTGAGTTTGTTTTTTTAGAATGATTTAACATTTCCCTTTTGATAATTTCTCTGTTTATTCATACAATGTATATGTGTAAGGGGGCAACTACCACCTCTATGCCAACGACACACAAATCTATCTCTCAACCCCCCACCTCACCCCCTCGGTCTCCACCCGAATCACACACCTACTGAGCGACATATCAGACTGGATGTCGCTCCACTTCCTTAAACTGAACCTCTCCAAAAACCGAGTTTCTTGTCTTCCCCCCAGCCCCCAACCCCCCCCCCCCCCACTGACTTCTCCATCACATCCAACAACACCACCATCCAAAACCGCCCCGCAGGCCAGAG